CAGCTTGCAGAGTTGCCTGGACCCAGCCTTTAAAACAGCTCCAGGACTGCCTAGGAAATGAGAGGGCATGCGAATAATAACAATAATAATAATAATAACAATAACAATAATAGTAATAATAATAATAATAATAACAATAATAATAATAATAATAATAATATTAATAATAGATATCCCCAGCCCAGAAGACCCAAAGAAACCACCACTTAAGTAAAAGCCCTTCCTGACAAAAGCTCAACGCTCCACCGGGCTTGGAGGAGGAAAAAAAAATCGCCACTTTAAAGAGAAAAGTGGAAAGGAACGCCTGCAAATTCGGCCGATTTCTCCCCTTTAGCGCCGCGCCTCCCCTCGAGAGAGGAGGCTCGACATACAGTTTTAATTATATATTAAAAAAAAAAAAAGAAAGAAACACGACAAACCACCCAAAAAAGCCGCCCCAAAACATTTTGCATGCATCTTAGCGCCTGAAAGAAAGCCCAGGCAGCTAAAGTTGTGTTCTGCCCAATTGCCTTTTACCCTCAGCAACCCCGGGACCGAAAGCCTTTTAAAATGCCCGTGTAAGTTCATGATCAAAGTTAATATTTGTCACGACGGCGTGCTTTTAAAAATTTCACAGACTCGGAGATGCTGTGTCCGCACCTAACATCTCCATTCTCTCTTTTTTTTTTTTTTTTTTCAAAGAGCTTTTTCTTTCCCATCGTAAAAATTCTTCTCGTTGGAAGAAAGAGCTTTGTAGGTTATAATAAAATCCTTCGAACGCTTATAAAACTCCACATAAAATTTGACCGACAAAACACGCCGGGCTAGTTCCCCTTAACCTTTTTCCATTTAACAGCTCTCTCTACCTACTCGAATTGCCGCTTTTGCTGCCTTCCTTGGTGACGGAAGAGGACGAGGCTGATGAAGAGCCGGGGTTCGTGTTTTCCTCTTCGTCTTCCGGGTCCATCCCTTGCTCTCCGCGGGATGACAGCGCGTGGGCTTGGGGCTCTGCCTCCACTTTGCCCTCTCCTTTCTGCAGGCAGGGCTCGCCCGGGTTTTCCGGCCCGCAATAGGCGTTGTCGAAGAAGCGATCGAACCCCTGGGGCAGGACGGTGTTTTTGTTCATGCCGCCGTAGAACCCCGTGGACGCCGGGTGGTTGGAGCCCGGGTGGTGGTGGTGGTGGTGGTGGTGGTGGCTGTACACGCTCTCGTTTTTCATTAGCATTTCGGTCATGGTGGAAGGCGGGAGGCACTCTCTATGCATCAGATCTTCCGCGGAATAGCACGAGGCGTAATTGCTGCGGTGGTGCCATTTACTCGAGGGGTCCAGCCCGTAGGAGACCTCCCGCACGGGCTGCACTTGCGAGAGGTTGGCCGAGTAAGGGTAGGAGATTTGGCGAGAGGGGGCCTGTGGCAAGAAAGATGACACAGTTGAAAATTCGGGGACGTAATAGGTACAGCTGGGGAGGTAGAGATTAGAAGCGCAACCTGCCCTCTCTCCAAACTCGGCGCTGCGCTCCTTCCGCGACTGCGAGCAGAAGTTGCCCAGGTTCACCGAGTTAAACATCTTTCTCTCCCCTTTTTTTTTTCCCCCTCGCTCCTATAGCTCGAGATGTTTTGGATCCGAGGCGCGCGAGGGGGGGAAAAAAATTTGGGAAGGCGAGATGACGCGCGCGATCCGTCTTAGTCGCTCCGGAGGACACGTGATCCAAAGTAGATATTGTCATATATCAGTTTGGAGCACTTAGATGTGTAGGAGTGGTTCACTTAGGTAAGATCTCAGAGGTTCAAACGATTGGTTTGCAAACACCGCAGAAACATTATGAAAATCAATCGCAGATTTGTATTCATTTTCCCTCGAAGGCACACCCCTCCGAGCATCCACAGCTGAACAAGTACAAGGGCTGGCTTGGGAACTTGCTGGGTTTTTTGTGGGTTTTTTTTTTCTTCTTTTTTTCCCTCCTCTCCCCTTGCTTGTTTTTTTTTTTTTTCCTTGCCTTTTTTTTTTTTTTTCCTTTTTTTTTTTTTTTTTTTTTTTT